GAGCTGCTAATCTGGGAAAAAGTAGCCAAAACAGTGAAAAGTTGGAAAAAATGACTAAATTAGCCTGGAAAAAGCAAATAGTTCCTGGCACGCGCTGCGGCCCGTTGACGACCGCCCTAATCAACTGCCCGGATGACGGGTACACTGTATCCATAAGTTCACCTTTTTGGGCGACATTGATACCAAACAGTCAATCTTAGAAGGGTTGAAGATTGAACAGAGAGCATTTTTGATTGTGAACTTGATGAATGGGCCCCACGTGCGCTAACGGCGTCACTGGCTCTGCCCCACCTTGAACCCTGACTCTTTCATTCTTGTGAGCCTCATAGACTGAATACGACGACAAATTACAGCCTTTTATCTTACCTGCTCAAAATCGAAAAGCAGAGGTAGAAATGATACAGCTGTAACTAGGAGGGAAATGGATAGCATAGTGGAGGCAAAAAAGTGGAACGCCATTGATCCCCTCACAGAAGCACAGCGGTGGCGGCAGGAGACGATGAGTTTTGGAAGGGCAAGAAGCTGAACCAGAATCAAATTGTTAGCTGTCAAGCGAGAAGATTATAACAACTGCAACACAGACTTGTTCGAATCTTAGCCGAAAATCACTGGCGATGCTCATGAGACTGTCGGTTGCATTTTTGACAGTCTGCCAATTCGGCCCAGAGCTCATGGAACACTGCCAGTCTCCCACTGGCAGGACACTTATGGAAATGTCGGCCTGGAATTTCCAGAGTAAGGATTCTCAATAAAAGACAAAAATGACCCTTACCTGAAGGAACACGCTGGTATTCACAATTGACAGAGATGAACCGACGGCCAACACCAACTCTCCGTATTCCTGATGAACATAGTCCAGACTACACGATAAAGTAGTTAAAATATTGGCACTATTTACCCTTTACTGCCCCAGCCATCCGAAATCAGGCCAGTTCCTGACCGACTTTTTTCTCCGTGGGCAGAATTTGCTGAAAACTTGGCTCCAGGGGTAGTTCGACCCGCTGAACACGAATATCGCATCCGCTTGACCCGAAACCTCCTGGCGCCCGCGCCACGGGCGCCGGCGCCAAATACTCGAAATCACCAAATTCGCTGAAAACTTGCTCCTAGGGGTAGTTTGACCCCCTGATCACGAATACCACTTCCATATTGCATGAAAAAATGCATGACCAACGCTTCTTCGAAAATCCCGCGCTCGCCCAGCTTTTCACACGCAAGCTCGTGGGAAATGGGATTTCCCGTGGGAAATGTGAATTTCCCACGGAAAATCGGTGTGGGAATGAGTGTTTCTCGGTGTGACTCTTCCCAAAACTGTACCTATCAACTTGGGAAGCCCCTTTGCTCCTCATTTAGCTATTCTCATGGCGAACGTACTTCATGGCGTCGAGAATTTGGAAAACCCAGTGAAATCATCTTCAACTTCTTCGAACATGTCGCACGGTTATATCTAGGCTAGGCTGCCTTCTACCAATTCCGGAAATCGATTAATACTAACCCAACGGCCCTCTTTAGGGCCACAAATAAGAGCGAATACTATTTCTCATGCAAGATAAATGTGAAATTCGTGTTCACATGGTCAATTTACCCTAGTTGACAAACTTTCAGCCAGTTTAGTGATTCAGAGTATTTTGGCGCCGGCGCCCGTGGCGCGAGCGCCAAGAGGTTTCGGGTCAAGCGGATGCGATATTCGTGTTCAGCGGGTCGAACTACCCCTGGGAGCAAGTTTTCAGCGAATTTGGTGATTTCAAGTATTTTGGCGCCGGCGCCCTGGCGCGGGCGCCAGGAGGTTTTGGGTCAAGCGGATGCGATATTCGTCGTTCAGGCGAGTCGAACTCACCCTGGGAGCAAGTTTTCAGCGAATTTGGTGATTTCGAGTATTTTGGCGCCGGCGCCCGTGGCGCGGGCGCCAGGAGGTTTTGGGTCAAGCGGATGCGATATTCGTGTTCAGCGGGGTCGTACTACCCTTTTTTTTTAGTATTTTCTAATGTTTTTTTTTCTGGAGCCAAGTTTTCAGCAAATTCTGCCCACGGAGAAAAAAGTCGGTCAGGAACTGGCCTGATTTCGGATGGCTGGGGCAGTAAAGGGTAAATAGTGCCAAAATATTGGACTCACCTGCATTATCTCCAACATTTGAAGACTCGCCTCAGGTGTGCAATCAGTGATAAGCCCAACGAGAAGCGGTACATTGTCTACTTGCTCTCCAGATGCGGACGAACAGCTGCGATTCCAGTAGGCAATTGCGCCTTGTTCGGTAGCACTGCCATCTGTAATATAGACCATTTTCACTTTAAATTCACCACTTTTCGAACCAAATTCACCACCACTCTCCAAATCAAATCCACCGAACTTATTAGGCCCGGCAATTCATCAGCCAGATCACAACTTGCGAGACCCGGCCTCGACGGCCTGCGGCCTAACTTTGTCAGCGCGTACCATGGATTTTCGATATCTCGTTTTCGTACTTCTGCTTTCTTGTGACTTTTCTTGTCTTTAGTGTTTTCCGGACAACAAACACATTTCACCTGAAACGACCGGCATCGACCAGCATGGCCACCCCCGCCCCATTCCCTAGAGGGTCTTTGCTAATCTGAGGCTCCCGCCCATTGGCACGCCCGCTTGCGCTTTTTGCGGAATTTTTATATTTTTCGAAAATTCTTGCATTGCTGGACTTACACGTGAAGCCCGCCCACTGTGACAGGCTCCGCTCACTTTGAAGGAGCTACTTTCCAAAAATGGCGCAAGTCGGCAGTACAGAGTCCCGGCTGACATGCAGGTTATTGCTGATGATTCAAAACAAACTTTGCCCCCTGATTTTCTTGTTCCGATGACGAACGAGACCGCCTAAGCATGTCAGCTGGGACTCTGTGCTGCCAAATTGCGCCATTTTTGGAAAGTGGGCGAGCTTCCTCAAAGTGAGCTGAGCCTCTCACAGTGGGCGGGCTTCACGTATAAGTTCAAAAACGCAAAAAATATTGGAAAAACACCAAAATTGTGGGGCCAAAGCGAGCGGGCCTAGCCAAGGGGGCGGGCTGGTTTCGCAAAACCCTTTTAGATGAATCGGGGCGGGTCGGCCATATGTCGATGTCCGGTCGTTTTCAGTGAAACGGGTTTTGTGGGAAACAGCCAAAGACAAGAAAAGTCACAGAAGCAGAAGTTATGAAACAAGATTTGAAAATCTATGTCCGCGCTAACAAGTAGGCGTGGCCGTCGGGGCGGGGCTCGCAGTGGTGTCTGGCGTGATCTGGTTGATGAGTTGCCCGTCCTAATAAGTGTGATGGGTTTGATTTGGAAAGTGGTGGTGAATTTGGTTTAAAAGTGGTGAAATCTAAAGTATGGTATACCATTCAACTAACCCATTCTCCCATTTTACTTTCTTTGTCCCTTTTAGACTTCTGAGTCCCCGAAAAATGATTTGCAAGGAAGCGGCCTCTGGAATTTGGACGCTGTCACATCAAAAATTTTCGCCCAACTCTTGGCACTTAGGAGTTCCGCTGTTGGAGTTCGGTCCAGATGTGTAACGAAATTAATTGAGATAAGTCAGTAGTGATTGTTTGAGTCCAACCCAAAAAACTCTTCTCAGTAAAACACCAAGCATGTGGTCTGGTCTGGGAATATGGCCAGCCGTTCTGCAGTCACAACGGAGGAGCCCGACCCCCCCCCTCCTTCGCGAAAGCTTCATGAGCCGTGAAGTATCCCGACGGCGGCCGCCTGACTAAAATTGTCCCATATCGCAACAGTTGCATCCTCCTGCATACGCTGATTTTTGGACGCTCAAAGACAGCCCCGAGCAAATCGTAAGCGTCCTTCCCTATATAAGTAGTCTAATTCTCAATCTTTAGAATTAGCGATAGCAACGGTGCTCCTTACGAGTGGAGGTTCTGACGCCTTCCTAGTTGCCCCGCCCATCGGAACTCAAAGGCTATTTTCTGTCACGAGTTTGGCTTTTACAGCGTTTTTCTTTTTTTTCCACTATTACATGGCATTAGCATCGGATGACGTGAAGAAATGATTAACGGAGCACAGGCGGCAGGTTTATCGCTTTGCTGGCATAAAACGAGCAGATCCGGAGGATTCTTTTAACAGGCAGACGGATCCTTACTTCTTGTTTTGGATGCTCTCCATCGTTCTTTTTTGCCTTTTTCTTCCCTGGAGAATTTAGCGACTACAGATTTGTAACTGAATGCTATTATCCACATTATACAAATGCGTAGCTTGTCTTCAAGATGATAGAAATCGGAAGGGATCTAATCGAGGAATGCGGTGGGCGTGGCGTCGAAGTCCGTCTCAGTACATGTAGCTGATAGCCACTAGCGGCCTCGTCGAGAGGCATGACTATCACTTTTTCGTCTAACGCTTCTCCGTCTATTACTGATAGTACCGCAAGCCTGAGCGGAACGAGGTCCTTGGTTATGTTTATGCAAGCAGTTCTCCTCCAAGAGCAAGCCAAGAAATACCATCGGTCGCTCTTGTGTAATTATGGGGTCAGCAAGCAAAGCTTTCGAATTGAAATGTTAAAGGCACGGTCCGCGATCAGGTATCGAAGTTGAAAATATGGCGTCAGGAGGTTAAAGTGGTCCGCGACGAACAACCTTGTACCGGTTTCGCGGCAAAAAATTCTATGGCGAGGGGCGCTGTAGCGCACTATAGGTTCAGTAGCTCCTCCTTTTTTCCAGTGACTCCGCCTCCAGACTCCGCCCCTAATGACCGACTTCCAGTGAAAAATGAGATTGCAGGACGAAAAAGCATGATAATCGCCACTTGTACGATCGTAGAAATCTTATCGGTGAATCAGCCGTGCATATGAGGGCGTAGTTTTGGAGATAGAGTTGATTGGGCACGTACAAACTGGGATCGAAATGGGGTTCTATCTAGGGCAGGTGGCATGTTTTTTGTGCTTTTTTTTGTTCACAGTCGAGTTACTCAACCCCTTGTCGTCTATATGGAACCCCCTAATCCACCATCTGAGGTGGCAAGTAATCGTGGGTTCTCCCTTTAAAGGCGAAGCCCGCGATCATTCTTCATCACAGATAGTGGATTAGGGGTTTGCATATAGACGGCAAGGTGCTGAATATCTCGATAGTGAAGAAAAAAGCAGAGAAAAACATGCCATCTGCCCGAGATAGAACCCCATTCGGATCCCAGTTCGTATGCGCCCCATCAACTCTATCTCCAACACTATTGTAAGCCCACATCCGCACAGCTGCTTCTCCAGTAGGAACTCTACGACCTACAAGGGTGACTTTCACGCTTTTTCGTTCCGCAGCTTCGTTTTCCACTGAAAGGTAGGCTTTGAAGGCAGAGTCTGGAGGCGGGAGTCACTGGAGAAAAGGAGGCGTCACTGAATTTATAACTGCGCATAAGCGCCCTCCCTTACAATTTTTGCCGCAAAACCGGTGCAGAGTTGTTCGCCGCGGACCACACTCTACCCTCGCGGATCGTGCCTTTAAAGGAGCAGTTGATACATGAGTTGACCAATTGGAGGGACAGGTTCGTATGAAATCCGAAGACCGAGAACTCTCCAGCAGAGGGATGAAGTCACACGAAGGTTTTGGAACAACCAGTCAAGAATCTGTTCCGTATCTTGAACGCTGTCACCGGGGTTCGACAGGGATAAAACCTTTAGTATTTCCCAACTGCTTTGATCCGGCGAAAAGGCTTTCGGCTTTGGCTGCAGCCTCATTTGTGAAGCAAGGTGAATCGACAGCAGAAGGAGATCAGAAAGGAAGAGAATTCTCGTATAAGAGCCGATGTTGGTTGCTCTTCGAATGCTTTGTGTTTGCAGCCTTGGTGTTGGAATTACTATACCAGTAACATGATAGCTGAGAGCAAAGCACTGACAAGGGAATGGTTTGAACTTCCTCATGGAACTTTGAATGGAGACCTAGGTTCATCGATAGAGTCTCGAATGCTGATTACGAATATGCAGATTAAAAGTGCTAACGAGAACCTCCCAGACGAGATATGGGTGGTCAAAGTTTGAGTTCTGGCTCGTAAGCGCTGCTGATTGGTAATGGCCTCGCTTTCAAGTCAAACGCATGCGGGTTTGCATCCGGTTGGCGCGAAAATTTTTGCTTCGCTACCTATGAGAGCTTCAACTCTGATTTTCGAAATTCTTCCGAATTTACGGCCCAGCAGGGCAAGTAGATCAAGTACATCAAGTATAGGACGTACTCGATCTAGAATGGATTTGGTCATATCTGGCCATCTTTGGGCCTCTGAACATATTACCCATCCGACAATTCAAAGTTTTAGCGAGAAATTCGTTCATGGGAGATTTCGACCCCTGAACACGAATATCACATCCTTCGACGAAAAAACGCTCGTCTGGCCAAATTGCGATTCTGGGCAAAACTTTGAATTGTCGGATGGGTAATATGTTCAGAGAGGGCAGATATGACCAAATCCATACTAGATCGAGTACGTCGTATACTTGATGTACTTGATCTACTTGGCCATCCTGGCCGTAAAGTTCGGATAGAATTCCAAACACACTCACGCACCGCTCTTATACCTGGAGCGAAGCAAAAGTTTCCGCGCCAACCGGATGCAAACCCGCATGCGTTTGACTCGAAAGCGAGACCATTACCTCGACGATGCCTCGGCAGTGCCACCGTGGCGTGGCACTGCCGAGGCATCGATCAGCAGCGCTTACGAGCCAGAACCCAAATTTTACCACCCAGATCTCGTCGGAGATCCTCGTAGCACTTTTTAATCTGCATATTCGTAATCAGCATTCGAGGCTCTATCGATGTACCTAGGTCTCCATTCAAAGTTCCATGGGAAGTTCAAACCATTCCCTTGTGAGAGAATTGAGCTAGCAGACAGTTAATGGCTTACTAGGCAGTTCCGTCAAACTACATGTCTTACAAAATTAACTGTTCCACGAGACACTTTATGCATAAGTTCCTTAAAAAAATTTATGGTCCCACCTTAACAGGAGGTTGTTGACTGGACCTCTTTTCCGTTGGAGAACCCTGAACATCAGTAGCCAGTAAAATATTCAGAAGCAGGTCTTGATCGGATCTGTATGGAAAAGCATTCTTTTGAAAAGAGGCAACTTTTGTTTTGAATATAAAAGCGTTACCTTGACAGATGTTTTATGACCGGCGATTCAGGCGGAGGACGTCTCGAACTGGGAAAAACTGAAAAAAATGTGGCTTTATTTTATTGAAAATGTGCAGAAACCCTTATCTCGTGCTCGCAACCCTCAAGACAATGAAACCCTTAAAAAAAAGACCTACTCTTGGATAAGAAGTAATCCTTCAAGCTCCTTCTGTCGATATCAGCGTCTACCTCGGCCAGAGACACATGGCAATTCCAGCCGGCTTCCAGCCCTGAACAGTTTGAGCTCTTGCCCGCATCTCATTAAGTAAGAACCAACATGGGAAGGTTGAAACGAGTGCCTATCAGAATATTAAGCCCGCCAACGAAGGGAGCGAGTCAGGCTCACCATCATTAAGTTCCCGACGACCCCTCTCCTATTTTTAAAGGGTTGGTACGACCCCCCCCCCCTCTCTCGTTCCCTCGTCATCGAGCGTGGGGGAAGGGGTAAATAGACATGTGAACGAGAAAAACAGCGAGGAAAATACGTCACCCTCTCCCCCTCTCTACAGTTTCTCGACTTTCCCCAAGTTCTTTGCCACTTTTTCCCGAGTTTTTCGAAAATTCTCCTACTTTTCTTTTACCCAGGACTCAAATCTTTTACCTCAATTCAGAAGGCCAGGAGAGAAACAGAACCTCCCTCCCCCTTAGAACGTCCCTGAGGCAAGAAAAACCAGCTATCAAAAATTACGACCTTCCCCTCCTCCAGCGACCAAATACGACCCCTCGTTGGGGAATCCCCACCAACGATGTGCCCTGGGGAGAGTAGCTAGGGCTAGCTAGCGTGAGTGAAGGAAAGTAAAGAGCGTTATATATCACGAGTGAAACGGGGAATTAAACAATCGAAAAGAGTCCCCCGCAGGGCTTGAAAAAAGCGACATAATGTGACCCGCCTTATGGGATACTCTGAACGATGCTGAACCTGTCCTATAAACCTACCAAGTTTTTCAGCGAAAACTCTGCTTCTGAGTTCATTTTCACGGGAGAAATAAACGAATCGAACGCATAAGGTTTCTAGTTGGTCGACGAGCTGCACGGCCTGCGGCATAACCTGTACGAATGAAATTTTGAGGGGGCGGGTCCGATCACAACTTTCGAAGTAGCAAATTCCTCAAGTTGGAACGAACGAAGCGACTGATGAATCAACCGAAAAACTCTAACCTCATACTGAGTAACAACCATTCCGCATAGCGCATGTCCAGTGAACCATCGCTGGACAATTTCATCAGCTGTTTCCAGAGAAGTTCGATCGAAGAATGGGTCATTCTCAGCACTGTCTGAAAAAAAAGATCTTGAGCAACACGATGATGATAACCTCTGGACGTTTTAGAGACCTATGCTGTGAGTTCTTGTCAAAGCACCGCTTCGCGGATGACGGCGTAGCAAAGGAACTTCGAAATAGTGATCTCTGAGAACATCGTTGGACACCATTCCGACGGCACGATAGGAAAGAGCGAGACAATACCTGAAGTACGAGATACAGGAAGGTCCCATGTGGTCCAAGAAAGTGAGTCATGGGATAAAAGAAAAAAGGAAAGTGGAACTCACCCGGTGACAGAATGTCTCTGATAGAAATCTATGGCACTTTTGAGTATGCGCTCGGTTATAGGTACGAGTTGTTCTCCATCCCACACATGAGAACAAGCCTAAACAGACATGCCTAATGTGGAATTAACCTACCTGAATAAGATTCCTGCAACATCAAGGCAGTGGGTGCGATGGATAGGGAGCAGAAACTCATGCGTCACTGGTGGAAGCCTACCGTCTTCCCTTCCGTCTTCCCCCCCCCCCGCACTATAAAAGGACTCCGAGGCCACGGAGTCTCCCTCAGAACGGCCTGTTGCATGTTGTAGGGGCACGTACAGGGATCCAAGATATTAGGGTCATTTTTCTGCTTGCTTCTAGGAATGCCAAAGGAGGAAGAACAACAGAATAATGAATTCCATGACCCCACCTAATGAACCCCACCAAAGTTTTGCATTTATTTATTAGTTATCATTTCTTAATATGGTGCTGTCCCGGAGCCTCATTGAAATCTGAACAGAGGCGCCAAAAATTTATTGCAAAAAACTCAAAAGACTCAAAAGAATCCAAAAGTTCTTGCAAAAAATTTTTTGTTTACTAATACTTCCTTCGAATATTTCGGTGCCTAGCACCTTCCTTCAGCGATCTGAAATACTATAGTTAATCGCCTGCAACCGAATCCTTCTCCTCGTCTTCAGTGGTTCCAATACCGCCTCCGCTGCTCCTCGCAAAAAAGCGGTGAGGAGGCAACGACCAGGTCAGAGTCTAGTTTGGAGGCACCACTGAAGATGAGGAAAGGATTCGGTTGCAGGCGACTAACTATAGTATTTCAGATCGCTGAGGAAGGTGCTAGGCACCGAAATATTCGAAGGAAGTATTAGAAACAAAAAATTTTTTGCAAGAACTTTTGGATTCTTTTGAGTTTTTTGCAATAAATTTTTGGCGCCTCTTTACGTGTTTCATGTTCAGTTATCATTTCGTTTGCTCGTACACCTCTGTACCCTTTGCCTGAAAAGAAGCGTCGTGTCCTGATCCAGCAGTTTGCAAATTTCTGCCAATGAACTTTTCATGAATTCGTGGATCTTTTTTCACCCTCCCCCCTCCCCGTTGACACGGCATTCCCAAAGATGTGCACGAATAACTTTCCGTGGTACATATGCCCCTACAGCATCCAGTGGATCCGAAAAAGCGTTCTAATCTTTAGAACCTCCCTCGTCTGCTCTCAAGGTGTGCTCTCACGCCTTATATAGAGAATGTATCACAACACATACCTCGAGCACGAGGCTTGCCGTCCCTTGGCAGGAAAGATGGTAGTATAGCGACCGATCATCAGCATGTACAGTACAATAAGCCATTTCAAGTGGAGTCTGATGTTTCCTGAGTCTAAATACACCACATATGTCCGTCAGATCTATAACGGCAGCCACAGCACAGTACCCTGGTAACGGAGCTTCTCCTGGTCGACGCTGGTAAAATCCTAACGCATTTGGCACCTTTTGGAACTGGTAGTTTGAACTGGGTTTGAATCTATAAATGAAAGAATGGGAGCTGCTGAGGAGCAGATATCTAAAGGCTGGCGTACCCGATGAGCCTCGGAAATACACATGAACATCGCTTGCAAGCGGTGGCCACTGTGCGCGGTACAGTGGCGGCGACGGCAGATAGGTGGTCCAAAAACGACGGAAATTTTGGATCACATCGGTTCAGAAGCAGGCACTGGCCAATGACACGCAGATTTGGTTCGAAGCGGGACCTAGGAACGAAATATTCAGGATACGATTGTTTCGTGGTCGTGTAGCATTAAAAAACCGCGATAGATTTGCACTCACCAATTGGGATCATCGAAGTCGACCCTCCATGATCCATCGATCAGCTGCTCGGAGCTCAAATCCATTACTTCAATAGTGGTGGCCTCATTACACTGATCTAAAAACATACTACTGCAACTGGTGACAGGGAAAAAACCAAAGAGGTTCAATGCAAATACCAATATATGATGAAATATGTTCTCCTATGATACTCGTATAATATGAAATATGTTCTATGTTACTTCAAAAGATCACCGAACTGAATACTCTGAAAATTCCAAGTACCTTCGTTATTAGGCCGGAAAAATACGACTTTGTCCAAGCACGGATTCATTGGAGACAGCAATCCTTTCTTGTCAAAAAACGAAATCCCTGTCAGATTTCCGAACAACGTTACGAAATCCTTTACGGAATTCGCTGAAAACATCCTGTTATAAATAACTGTAATCGAATTTAAACTGGGCCTGAGAAAAGGCGTATACGCAGTGACTATCGGCTTACGGTTACAGCTGCTGAAAAGGAAAACTTGGAAGAAGCCAAAAGTCGCGTTTCAGGCAGTTCTGAAGCTCTTCTTCGACAGCAAAATAGTGGACAGGTAAGCAGACTACAGGAAGTCAACAAGGAAAAACTTTCAGCGCTCTCCATTTGGTTTCCTTACTAATAGACTTCCTTAGTGCCTTCATCATCCGTGGAATCGCCTTTTTGGGAGCTTCAGGGGTATCCACGGACATTAACTTCAAATTCACTAAAGTGCATGGAATTGTTCAGCTGTGTTGATGGTTTTCTTCCTTTGACTCATGCTTCAAGTCATCTCAAAGATGGCTGATGGGGTGAGGTGAAGGCGTTCCCTTGGTCAGTATGTCGTCTTGATGCTGACCTTCGGAGCTGGTACCTGGATCTCACGGACTTTTTTGCTTAGGGTCATTTTTATTGGTTTGAAAACAGGCACGCATACTTTATCTGTATTCATGATATTTCGCCACACAAATCGATAAAAATGAAAAAGTAATTTGAAAGGAAATTCCGATTTTTTTAGTTTGTTCCAAGTTTGTTTTTTTCCAGCTGCAGCTTCCGTGGAGGAGTGTGGGAACGATTTGGGTAAGTCTTTCAGGCGCCGTTTACCTGTTGGGGATATTTTGCTGGTTCTCATTGATCACTGCTGATGCTACATGCAGAAACCTGCCAACTTTTGTGAAGCTATGTAGTAGCTACAAGTCAGTTTTTAATCATTCTCCACGAATCGGTAGCACATCTCTCACAGGGACAGAAGGCTCGGTTGGTATGAGCCGGAGCAGATCCGGAATTTCACCCGTAACAGTAACTAGTAAAGGTCCGCGGCAGTATTGACAACTCAAGCTACCCGTATTTTTCTAACGTTAATCGAATTGTGTTCGTAAGCTACGTAACCTCCCTAGAAACTTTTAGCTTATGCTTTGCCGGTCTTTGACCTGAAATAGCAGTTGGTGATAGGTCACTCTCATCTTCAAGTGTTTAGGTCCTGACGAAGGCAACTAAGCCAAAACGCAAGGCAAATGAAGCTGTCACTCTCACCTTTGGAAGTCTTTAGTACATCACAGACGGCAGCGTTGCCCCTGAACAGAATATAATGCTCCTTTTCAAACCAATACTGAATTAAGCAAAATGAACTAAAACAAACCGCCGTTGCACAAAAAGCAGAATGAAGAAGAAGGTGGGGGCAGTTAAAGGTAAAACAATGAGCGATGGGATAGCGAACACATATCTGAATAGATTTCCAGTACAAAAAGCCCATAATACCATGAATTAAAGTCGAAACCTAGTGGAAAACAGCGATTGATTGCCATCAAGAAGAAATCTCATCATACAAGTGAGGACGGCTACAGTAACAACGACAGGTAGAATGGCTCGTTCTGCTACCATATGAAGACAGTAGTGCAACTGAATCAAAATGTAAATGGAAAAGTTGCGGAACGATGATGTTTGCTCATGCAGAGCCTCGCCCACTCAAATACTCAAAGGCAGCGGGCACGATTACTGTAGGCGGGCGGTTACTGCCAACGTCGTTGGTGGAAGAGCTGTGAGAGCGTTTAGCCACACCCCACTCAGCCCTTCCACCTGTGATGTTGGTAGCCACAGCCCGCCCCACCCACCGTGCCAACCGCCTCTGAAAAGTCCGCGCGTTGTGCACGCTCACCTGATGATCCACTGTAGTAAAACGTCGTTCATCGTTGCCCACCGTAGACAAGTGGTCGGCTAATGGCGTTGAAGTAGCAACAGCCTGAAATTCCCATTATCACGATCCACTGAAAACAATTCACTGCTCTGCAGCAACTACCTTGGTTGCATAGAGAGGAATTGCTGCGCCTGTCTCAGTGTCGATCTCCACTTTATCTGGGATACGATCGCCCATCTTTAGAACTTTTCCATTTGCCAGCTTACAATCACACGGCGCAGCCTGAAGCAGTCGTGATAAAACTGAGCGTAAACTTACGGGAGGTCATTCAGGGCGTGCCCCGCTTTTTCGAAACGGTTTATTGCACTTTGTAGGGCCTTGCCCATGAACCATAAAAGTGGGCTTCGTTTTGGCTGAGCGGCCCCTGGAATGCCAAAAAAGGAGCGAAAAAGAAACCTATGGAAACTGATTGTTTTTGAGCCTCTACGAGCTGTAAACCGCTTGAAACTTTGACCAGTTGCTGAATGGAGGGACCCTATAAAGGTACTATCGGAATCGAAGAGAAAAGTAGTCGGGGTATGGGGTCTTACTTGTGGCACGTAATCAAGCGTGAACGGCTTCATGGAATGGTTTCTTCAACGATCGGAGGAATGTTCAGCAACAACGATCGGATGGCCTAGTGGATAGCGTGAAGGATTCTCAAGCGGACAGTTGGGGTGGGGTTGATGGTTCGACTCCCCTCGGCGTGCGAGTTTTTGCATTTTTTATGTTTTGCTGTTTTCGCGTTATGTCTGTGCGTGAGTATGCGTTCGATAACTGCCATTTATGGGCACATTTTAAATGGGAACACTCCATGAATCAGTGCTATTCAATTATTACAGGTTACATACCATTAAGCAAGACCGTAAAAGTTGACCTTTATAGGTCAGACCATGCCCGAATCACGAATATGGAACTTATTTGTAGCTACGGTGCCATTTATCGCTAATATGGAGTGACATGTTTCTCCCAATGAATGCGTTTGCTACACACAAGTAAGGGATGTGTAGCGCTACCCAGGCGCCAAATTACGTCGGCGCCGAAAATAAGTGTGAAAATCATGATCGGGGCCATCGATTACCCCTGTAAACAATCTTTCGGCCAAAAAATTTTTTTCGACTTTTTTGGGTGTGTGCGTTGGGTTGTGCCCGACAGTCTTTCTATAGAAGTCTACAGTGCCTCGCCATAGGGACCCCCTATTTTATTAATATCCAAAGATAAAAGTAACAATGCCGATGAAATTCATGCAAAGAGGAAGGAAAGGGAGGCATTCCACCAGGTTGTCCTGCCGGCGGCCTGCTACGTCGTCGTTCCATCATCGTCTTTACGAAGATGGGATACTCCGGTCACCACTGCCGACCAAATGGTCCACCAAAACCCAAAAAATCGAAAAAACTTTTTTTGGCTGGAAGTTCGTCCATAAGGGTAATCGATGGTCCTGATTACGATTTTGACACTTATTTTCGACGTCGACGCAATTTGGCGCCAGTATAGCGCTTAACCCTCATATGGGGATACATAGACGTACCTTTCGCTCCTTTTTTGGCGTTCCTGGGGCCGCTCAGCCAAAACGAAGCCTTTTATGGTTCATGGGCAAGGCCCTACAAAGTGCAATAAACCGTTTCGAAAAAGCGGGCACGCCCTGAACGACCTTCCTGGTTAGTAAAAGATTAGGATTCATGGAGAGACTGTCTCTTGTTGTCCTGAAAAAAAACAAAAAAAATGTACGAAGGAAACGCATAGAAAATATAGATGAATCGACTTCTTCATACAAGTCCTGAGTTCCATCAGTGGCGAGTTTGGAATTGACTTCATGTTTGATAGAGGCCATGTGGCAGTTTTAAATCAACTCCGAACAGGCAGCATTTTAAGAATAAGGAGGACTTTCCCTCAACACGGTCACCCTTCTCTTCTTCTGCGATAGATTCCCTCCCAAAATAAGACGACCAGTACACAAGGTTCAGCATCGATGGGAGAATGGAGGGTGTCGTACTCGCATGCTGGGTCGCTGGGGAAGGAAAAATTCTTCCAATTTGGTTGATACTTCTTGGTTTCCCCCTTTTCATGTTCACTATATAGCCTTGCTAAGTCGCTGGCGCCGCAGAACTACCACTACTGTTTCCGTCTATTGTCGACATTAGTAGTTGATTTACGACGGTTACCCCTACCACCCCCCCCTCCCGCCTTCCCCTCACCACTCAAAAAAGCCCGAAAAAACCTTTGGAAGAATGGGAAACTCTAGGCACGTGGTAGGTAGCATAGGGAAGGAGGGGATTGTACCAGATGAGGAGATGAGGGGGGGGAGAGGTGGTGTGTCGTGCTGAATTCGCCATTTCACAGATCATGATGCTGTAGAATGGCAGTGAAACTCGTCTACGATGGCAGTGAGTCAGTTTAGTGTAAATCTTTGCTATAGAATCCAGATCGAGATAGGATTTAGTCACAGTAGGGTCATAAATGGCCTAGCAACTCTCCGATTCTCTCCGCTAGCATTGCCCTCAATCAGCATCGCAACAACTCTTCTTTCTAGGAGCTATTTGAAGTTTTCTCTAGCCTCTCTCCCTGTCAAATGCACGTTGAAAGGAGAAACCGGAGAAGGAGAAGTTATTCGATGCGATTCCCAACATTGGCCTCCCGCAGGGGGAGTGGCAGGGAGTCCTTCTGGGAGAAACATCCACATCCCCACAACGTTTCCTGATTGGGTGCTTTCGCCACCACGCTTATGCGATCCGTTTTTTGGGCAAGGAAACTGAGATTCACGAAATGGAAATTAGTGACGAATGCTCAACCCTGACGGAACAATAGCATAAACCTATGAGACCGTTCATCTGAATGCCTTCTACTCTTCCGTGTCGAGAGGGGCGTAGTGAAATGTGCTTGTCTGTGTCCCACGCTCCTCACGGCTTCAAGGGAGGACCATATTAATCCCCATAATACTCATTTCATTACATTAAAAAAATCACATTCAAGGTGTCTGCACATTCACCTAAGAGGACGGCCCTTGTCATGTGGGATGTGAATGGGTCTGCAGATGGTATAGCGTGCTGCTTTCTCAGCTCAGTGACGCACGCACGAGAATCAGGTTGGAGAGTAGTGACACTCATTCTGTGCTGTTAGACGGCATCCGGGCATCATCACCCTCCAACCCTGCACCCATGCCTTTTTGAGCAGGGAAACGGCACGCTTCTGCGGCGGACACGTCTACCTCACACACGACAGGGAGAGGGATCCACGGAAGTGAGTGTACCGTTTGTCTTCATGACGACTAAGTGGAACCTAAAGGATAGTACTGACCTGAGACGGCCGAAGAAGTATGACGTCTCCCTCGACGAGCAGCAGTCTCGGCACGGCAACCACTTTGCCATCACGAACTGCCGACTGCGTCAGCATGTCACTCGACAACGGCTCACCTAGTGGAGCGTAGGCAAATGAGGACGTCGAGATCTGCAAATGCGGAAAGTTCCTGAGAATATTTGGAAAGGATAATATCGAACCAGACAAGATATCACCCACATGGCTCACATAATCGAGCGCCTCGGTAGCCTTTCGTTTCCTCTCTTCCAACAATGCTCTACACAGCTTCCATTGCATATAGTGAGCTGCGAAAAGAAAAACCAGATGGAAAATCGCCAGGAGTAGCAGTATGACAGATAGCTGATTCTCGCTGAAGTATAAACTCATTGTCATTTCATATTCTGATCACGTTTTTTGTGAGCAGTGCATAAAGAGGAGGACTAGCGAGACTACTAGCGTGGGTCGTTGGGACCCATTGGTTGTCTGATCATAACATCCAGTCAAAGGCTCCCTTCAGACTTCACGGTGACGCGTGACGACGCGCTGTAACGCGCGTCGACGCACTACGGCTGCAACACCGCTTCATTATCAGTAATATAAACGCGAACGCAGTCGCAGAAGGGAACCGATGCTCAAATGTTATCCTGTGCCCTCTCAGTGCGCCAGCCGCGTATATTCTGAGAGGGTATAGGATAGCAGAAGGCAGTCGTTGCCTTCACACAATCTGGTACTCTCAATAAGCTCAGCAGCCAGTGTCAATCAGTACCAGACTGTGTGATTAGGCAATGCCTCCTTTTCCCATAGTGTCTCAAAACAGATGCGGTCTGCGCTGATCGAATCCCTCTGGGGCTGCGTTCGCGTCCACATGATTGGCGATATTGCAATTGTAGGGTGTCATGCACATTACAGCGCTTCGACGCGCGTCATCGCGAAGTCTGAACGCTGCTAAACCATTTTACACCTGCGTCATACACTATTAGAACAACATTAGGTGACAACAAGTATTCAGCTGGTGAAAAAAGGCAAATTCCAGTGCCAATCAATGCCTGCTCAGGATACGCCACGTATCCACATCTATTCGGAATTGTATTGACATATAAAATTCTGTGGGTCCTACAGAATGACTTGCCGAACAGGCACAATACAAGTCGGTGACTTTAGTATCTCAAAGGAGTCTGGTAATACATCGTTTTCAGAAAAGAAAAAGGAAAAAAGGGAAGAACCGCCGTACTGGAAGAAAAACTTGGTTGATGCGGCCGAGACCACCCGAGGTTTGAGGCTCGGACCGCGGGCCAAGACCACCCAAGGTCTGAGGCTCGGACCGCGGGTGGTAGAAGGTGCCACAAGAATTCCTTTCCTGATTTCTCGAAAAATATTAGGTTGGCTAATAAGTAATGGCCGTTTTTTTCAATTGAAAAATTTGTTCGAAAAGTGAAACGTTTTGCAAGCAAGTTATATATCATCTGATAGGAAACTTCTCGTAG